TTATTTTAAGAGGTGTTTGCAGGATGAGCCAGTTCCCACCCTAGGTTAGATAGACAGTATTGGGGGGTGAAGGTGTCTCCTTTGTGACTTGTTTTCAGGATCTCGGGAGCACATACTGCATTGAAACTGGAGTCAGAGGAGAGGAGCCCAGAGGCGTGGCTTCAGCTTCAATCCAGTCTCGAGACCAATTGGCTGTGATAATACTATTACTGGTCCATCCTGCAAACACCTCTTAAAATAAAAGTTCAGGTAAGACCAACTGTCATTTTCCAGAGTGGGTTTGCAGGATGGTCCAGTAATGGGACATACCCCTGTTTCCGTCCCATAGGGTAGGCCCTCAGTGATCCGACAGGACCTGTTGCAGGACCCTGCGGCCGAACGCCGCGTCAGAGGATGCAAAAACATCCAGTCTGTAGTGTCGGATAAAGGGCAACGGGGAGGCCCATGTACCTGCCCTGCAGATGTCTTCTATAGGAGCCTGGGAGACCCAGGCCGCCGAGGTGGCTGCGCTCCTGGTGGAGTGTGCCGTGATTCCGGCCGGAACTGGCAAGTTCTCCTGTGCGCTGCTTGGAGAGTCCAAGCATCGGTTAACACAGTCTATCTGCCCTTGGACTGAGTGAGTTTTTTCTTTGACCACGCCTCCCTTTGCCTCCTTAATTTCAGTTTAAAAATTCAGTCTGCCCATTAGGACTATTCTGGGGAGCTCTTTAGTCCTAGAGTAGATAGACTGGACTCCCCAGTCTATCACCTCAATATCATATATACATCTGCAATTCTGAAGAAAAAAACTTCAATATCAAGTTTATTGTTAGCTGAGAGGATTTTCCAGGCCGTTTCAGTCCTGCTGGTCGCAAGCGGGTCTGAGCACATTTGCTTGGCTGGCGGCGAGCAAGGGGGAGGCGGGAGGCTTCCCAATAGAGAACTCCCCCAACCGCTGTGTCACAGAGGTCGCACGGGCGCCAGGGCAACATCGGTGGTGCTCCTTCTCTGGCCGGCAACAGTGGTGGCCATCTTTAGGCTCTTACGCGCACTTTCTGGCTCCTTATCTGCCGTTTGGCGGCTATAGGCTGCATGCGCAGCAGTCGCCATTTTATTTTGCCTCTGGCAGCAAAGAAATCCTTGTGGAGCCCGCCTAAAGCCAGGAACAAAGAAATAATCCCCTCAGCCACAGATTGCTGCCAGGAAGCGCGGGTTCTAGTCCAGGGCGCCAGCTAGTCCTGCCTTCCAACCCTCACCACTCGGGAGTCCCCAGGACAGCCGGAGGAAGGGATCTGTCCTTCGGGCGGCCCCCTCTTCACAGAGAATCTGCAGGCGCGCTGTTGGTTAGCGCCTGGTGCCCGCCTATTGTTCGTTCCAGCCCAAACATCCAGAAGCCATAATCTATCAAGGGCCTACAGGGCAGCATGGCTGACGGAAATTCGGAGGCGCAGGAAGTGCAGGCAGGGCCCTCCAACAAACGCAGTAGGCTGGATCCTCCACCCAAAGGGGGAAAGTGCACCACCAGGAAGTCCTCCCTGGGTCCCTCAGGGACCGTTGACAAGACCAAAGGGGGTTCCCAGAAACTCGTGCCAAGTATTCCTATCTCCAGATCAGCTGGTGAATCTCAGGAACCACGCACCTTCCCAGCCACTTCTGCCGCTCCTGGGGCTTCCGCAGCGTTCGCGCTCTTCTGTGCCCTCTTTTAATCCCACTGCAGCGAAGCGCACTCTGTACTAAGCTTCTGGGCTGTCGGGCTGGAAACCAGAGCCCCTTAGCCCCCACCAGCTCCAATCTGCCCTCTCAAAGCTCCATGTAGTCACCAGCCAAAATGGCCGCCAGGACAGCGACCCAGCCACCGGAGCCTCCAAGCCTTGAGATTTAACCCTCGAATAGCTGGAAAAAACCACAGCTATCGGCAGGGACTTACTGGGAGGTGAAGGGTTTCCTTGTGAGAAGGAAGCAAGCTGAGTCGAGGATGGTCCAGAAAAGGTAAATCAGATCAGGAGTCAATAAATTTCAACCTCTCTTTGGCCAGACTGGATTGAAACTGGAGTCAGAGGAGAGGAGCCCAGAGGTGTGGCTTCAGCTTCAACCCAGTCTCGAGGACAATTGGCTGTGAGAATACCATCACTGGACCATCCTGCAAACCCACTCTGGAAAATTCACCTGTTCTCCTTA